TTAAACTTTCCATTGCCCTAAAAAGCTAATAAAATTCAGCTTCCTTAAGCTATGTTTTAAAATAACTGACTACATGCCAAAACTCTATATGTCAAAAGTTAGAAAAATTGAAAGAAAAGACATTTTCGAATGAAATGCACATTTTAGGTATATATATTTTATATATATTTTAGGTATATATATTTTATGTTTTTATGTTTATGACATTTTAAGCCTTTAAGCTTGCTTTCTTTCTTTCTTTCTTTCTTTCCTTCTTTCTTTTCTTTCTTTTTTTTTTTTTTTTGGCAGTTCCATGTTTTCCCTGAGGGCATTTTATGGGCTCTTCTTCCTTAGGTTCATGTGAGTAGCACTCACAGAGGCTCTCAAGTCAACATTAGAAACACAGAAGCAAATATCCTGAGCTCAGAGCCTGGGGGGAGCCAATGCTCCAGCTGCCATGGCAGCAGATCAGGGGCTGGTAACTCAGTGGCTTAAAAGAGTGGCTAGGAGATGAGTGGTTTCCCATGACCTTGCTTTGCCTGAAAGACATATTGCACAGGATTTAATGGAATCTTCCCCTGGGCTACTAAGAAATCCTTCTTTCCAGTATGGGCTTGTTGAACGTAGACTTGAAAGATACTCAATTTATGGTATCTCGATATTTTCATTTAGTGCCTCAATTTTCTTTTTTGACATCAGAGTAGTCATCAAGTCATTACACTGTGGCAAACAGTTTTCTTAACCTCTAAAGAAGAATTTTAGGCTAAAATAAGATAATGTAACTTTTGGTTAGATCTTAAAGATCACTATGTGCATTTGCACATGTATACTGAAATATAAAATTATATATGCCAATATTACATGTATGTATTTAGCTTATGTATTTATCATTATGTAAATATAAAATTTGTATGTACATAAATATGTAAATATACCACATATCTATCATGTCTACCACATATCTATCATGTATATATTTGCCATATAAATAAATTTTATTATGTATAAAGTATTAGAGTTTCAAAGGCCTGGTAGCCTCTCTAAACAGAGTTGCATGGCCAGAGGCAGACCAAGGACCAGAATGTAGGTCACCCTGTCCAACACCCACCTAGTCCTCTTCAGAGAAGTGTTGCAACAGTTTATTCATCAATTCACAAGAATAGTTTTATTTTAGGATTGTTCAGTGTCTCTCATTTTGTTGATTTACTCTTGTTTGTTTGTCCCCCATTTTCATTCCTATTTCCTGCCTCCCCATGTGAAACTATACAAATGTGTTTTGTACATATATTAAATATACATAAACACCTTGGTGTTAAACATATATGTTGGTTTTCCAGGTCTGTGTTCTTAATTTATCTGAATGATCTTGTGTTCTGTGTCCCATTTTTTCCCTTATCATTTCTTAACCCATTTTTTTTTAAGATCCACATATGTTCTGCTTTCATGCACCTAATGTATTATAAAATGCTTGTTCACCTCATTTTTATATATTCATCTCTTTCGTGGTGGAAAATTGGAATGTCTCCAATTCTCTGCTACTACAGACAAGGATACAAAGAATATCATGACTCAAGTCCCCATGTAGACCTGCTGCAAAAATTTCTCTGGAGTTTATAACTCAGAGAGTGATTGCCAAGTCAGAGACGTAGGCATACTTAACTACTGACCTCCAGAAGGACTACCAGCTTCACATGACTAACAAAACATTTGTTCCCCTTATAAAAAACCCAATATTATGAATCTTTATAATTTAATATGATGGCTGTAAAATGTTAATCCATTTGTGTCTTAACTATAATATCTCTATTAAATGTCTCTACGCGTTTTGTTCCTCTGTATAAACATATTGCCCTCTCAAGTTTTCCCTTGTGAGATGCTTATTTAGACATATTGCTTCTATTCTATAGGTTGACCAGTCTTCTTATTGATATGCAAGCATTCTTTATCTATTTGAAGTATTAATTTCATGTAAACTCATCTCTAATCTTAGATTTCCCAGCTAATCCTCTGTCAGTGATTTTTATTTATGGTGGGATTTGTTGGATTTTCAATTTTGATGTGGTCAAATTCATCTTTTTTTTTTTTTTTTGGCCTTCTAACTTATGTTTTGGGTCTTAGTTTAGAGGCAATCCCCATGGAAAAGGCACAAAGTTACTCTTTCATGTTTTCATCTATTGACTTTTTATAATTTTCTCTTTCACAGTTAGGTCTTTATTCACCTAAAGATCACCTTTGTGGCAGGGGTCTAGCATCATCATCATCATCATTATCATTATTATTATTATTATTATTTTATTGAAGCCATTTTTTCATATGCTAGCCTGTTCTGCTCCTCTTGACTTGTGGGATCAACTTTGACGTTTATCAAATTCATGTAAGCAAATTAGGTTTTTTTCTTGAACTCTATGTAGTATTCCATTTGACTTTTTTCCCTTTCTGTAAGAAATCTAAGTTCTGTTTGTTTTATTTTAACTTACAGATTTATAGCATACCTTGATTGTCTATTAGGACAAACACTCCTCACCCATTTTTTATCTTCTCAAAATTTCAAAGTTGGTCTGGCAATTCCTAGGGTTTTTTTTTTTAATATATTTTTAAATAAATGTGTTGAATTCCTTAAAAATTCTTTTCTTATATATTTTGGAATATGTTTGTTGGTGGCCTGAAGGTTTCTCCTCGCATTTTATTTGAAGTTGCATTGAATTTGTAGACTAAATTTGGGAAAAACTGATTTTTTTTCATATTAAGTTATCTCATTCATGAATGTGGTATATCTCTTCATTTATTCAGGTCTTATAGTTTGTTTTTCTGTTGGATTTTACAGTTTTGTCCATAAAGGTCTTGTGTATTTTTTGTTAAGGGTTATTCTTATATATATTTTTTCAGTCCAGTTTCAACCTGTAGGATACATTTATATGTATATAATTTATTACAAGGGATTGGTTTGCACTATTGATTATATGAACTGCCTAAGCAAGCCCAAAATCCATAAGGTAGGCTTTCAGGAAGGTTCGAAGTATGGTCATGGGTAAGTTGAAATTCATGGGCACAGTCTGAAACTTACTATGCTCTGGTGACAGAGTTTCCTTTCTCTCTCCCTTCCCCCCACCCTCTTTCTCTCCCCCTTTCTCTATTCAGACCTATTTTCAAGACTTCTAACTGGTTGAATCAGACCAGCCCAAATTGTCAAGGATACTATCAGTACTTAAAGTCAGTTGATTATGGACTTCAATCACACCTCTAAATTCATGGCAATATCTAGATTAGTGTTTTGATTAAATAACTGGGGACCATTGCCCAGCACAACTGATACATTGGCAAAACCTTTTACAGTACAGTTTTGTTTGCTAACTTATGTCTTGTTTTCTGTTTGATTATTGCTAATCAATGTAGAGGAGCTATATCAATTTTTGTAAGATGATATTGTGTCTAAATAACTTTCTGAATTGTTGTGTTTTTTCTGGTGGTTGGTCTGAGACTTCAGTTTTACATTCTGTGTTGGTGATACTATCATCTGCAAATAGTTTAAGGGGATGTTATCTGCAAACAATTGCAGTTATTACAATTCTTGATTCTTTTTCTTATCTGATGACTTTGGCCAGTGTGCTCACTGATACATTAAGTGATGGCAAGGATAGCCAAGTATCCTTGGTTGTTCTCTGACAGTAACGTGTATCTAAAGTTCCACCACAGACAGGATGCTTGCTTTAGTTATGGTATTGAATCCTTCATCATTTTACGGATATTTCCTTCCATTCCTAGTTTACTGAGTGTTACCTTCTTTCATCATAAATAAAATTTGTATTTTATGAAATGCTTCTTCTACATCCATTTAGAAGATTATGATATCAGCCCACTGGTGTGTAACATACACATTTACATTTACTAACGTTAAATCACATTTGTTTCTCTGCAATAAATAAACCCTAGTTACTTTGGGGGTGGGGAGCAGGTAGTAGCTGACACAAAATGTTTCACTAGTTTCAGGTATACAACATGGTGATTCACCTTTTCTGTATGTTACGTATGCTCACCACAAGTGTAGCTACCATTCATCTGTTGCTATACCATGCTATGACAATATCATTAATAAATTCCCAATGCTATACCTTTTATTCCCATGACTTACTTGTTTCATAACTAGAAGCCTATGTCTTTCACCCCCTTTCACCCATTTTACCCATCCCTCCACCCATTCCCCCCGACACCCACTAGTTTGTTCTCTGTATGTATAGGTCTGATTCTGCTCTTTTCAATCTAGCTTATTATGATGTGTTATATTCTTACTATGCTTGTTCAGTTGGTTAGCAAATATCTTTTTTGATAATGTATGTCTCTGTTCATAAATAAAACAGGCTTATAATTCCTTTTTTTATTTTATAGCCTTATTTTACTTTAAACTTCAAGTTACTCTAGCTTTATAAAATATTTTAGGAAATGTTCCTTCTTTCCCTACTCTCTGCAACTACTTTTATAAGATAGGGGTTGTTTGTTCCTTCAACCTTGGCACAACTCTTATAAAATTTTCGGGGCCAGGGGCTATTTGTGGGTCCATTTTGTGGTAATTTGTCATCTAATAAGTAGGAAAGCATTTTTCTTTTACATTGAATTTTTAATCAATATTTATTTATTTATGTGTTTATTTTAGAGAGAGAGAGTGCGTGCATGAGCTGGGGGGAGGGGCAGTGGGAGACTCAGACTCCCCACACTGAGCAGGGAATCCCATGCTGCACTCAATCCCAGGACCCTGGGATCATGACCTGAGCCAAAGGCAGATACTTACCTGAGTGAGGCACCCAGGTGCCTGGATTTTTAATCAATATTAGTTGTATAATTTTATAAAGAGAATAAGATAGCTTTAGCTTTGGACTAATAATTGAGTATTGTTACACCTGATACACTTCCAAGTGTGTCTTATAGTAGATGAGGCAGAAATGGGATCCAGATGGAATGCTCCAGATGTCAGATTAAGTCTGTTGCCTTTGAAACTCCCTTACTTCTCTATGCTTCTTCTCATCTAGGACATACGGGCCGGCTATTAAAGTCTCTGTGCTTCACCAGTCTTTCCTTCCTGTTGCTGCATATCATCTTCCACATCACGTTGGCTAGCCTGGAAGCTCAACACCGTATTGGACCTGGTTACAACTGTGAGTGTTACGGTGATTTTTTCCCTTCATATTATGGATGAATAAAGCTATGTGTCATAATGCTCATAACAGTCTATACAGCAATTACATGGTAGAATTCATGATCATTTCTGGTCATTCGGCGATCCTGTACTGTAAACGCATAGAAAGCAACTGTCATGGAAAATTGGGTAATACAAGCAACTTAATGAATGAATTTTCAACAAAAATTAGATATGAGGCCCCTATTTGTAGGCAAGATATTATTACTGGGCTTAGTCTAAAGAAAAAAAAAAACAAGATTTATATTAGTCCCTGGAGCATACAGTACAGCTACTGAGGCAAGATATGTACAATTTCTAACATGATTAATATGCGTACAAAAATTGGATAACATTATATGACTGTGACCTCAGTCCTATTCTATAGCAAAATGGAAGTTTTCATGTGCCTTTATGGGAAAAAAAATACAATGACACGTAGTTTCTTTTTTATTTATTTATTTAAGATTTTATTTATTTATTTGACAGAGAGAAAGCGAGATCACAAGTAGGCAGAGAGGCAGGCAGAGAGAGGGGGGAAGTAGGCTCCCTGCTGAGCAGAGGGCCCGGTGCGGGGCTCAATCCCAGGACCCTAGGATTATGACCTGACCTGAAGACAGAGCCTTAACCCACTGAGCTGCCCAGGTGCCCCAATGTAGTTTCTTTTATTTATTTATTTATTTATTTAAGATTTTATTTATTCATTTGACAGACAGAGAGCACAAGTAGGCAGAGAGACAGGCAGAGAGAGAGAGGGGGAAGAAGGCTCCCTGCTGAGCAGAGAACCCAACGCGGGACTCGATCCTAGGATCCTGGGATCACGACCTGAGCCGAAGGCAATGGCTTAACACACTGAGCCACCCAGGCGCCCCTGTAGTTTCTTTTTTAATTGAGAGTTTTTTACTGCTACTCATACAGAAATAGTATGTCTCATATGCATCATACTTTGAAGTTATGATCTGAAAATGTCAACATCTATATTCTTTAGGCAGCATCATGTTTCCAAAATTAACCTGTTACTGGATAAATTCGCCTTCAGTTTTTCTAGGATGTGTGATTGTCATTTGAAAAAAGAAGAAGCATGTCAAGTGGATGGAATACAACCCTCATGTTTTAAGTTAAATCTAAAGAAACCCTGACATATTTGAAATGGATTGTAATAAGTTTTAAATTGTCAGCTTTTCTTTGAATAAACCCATTTGTGAGGTTTAAATTTCCTGATCTTTCATAAAGGCAAGCACAAATAATAGGAAGTAAACGCACACTTCCCTGCAAAATAAAAATGATTAAAATTCTTCATGAATCAAAGACTATTAACATAAATCTCTCTAGTGAGAGATCCTTTAGTAAAATCCATATTTATAAATTATTCAGTATCCTTCAGCATATAACTTTTAGAAAGCTACCTTTTACAGACCTAAAGTTAGTATTCATTTTGGCCATTTTACTGAGTTCAGAATCCATTGGATAATAATGTGTATCAAAATGGTTTTGCTGTAAAATCCACGATTTAAGATATGGTTCTTGTTTTTAAGTTGGCGTATAATTCATATACAATAAAATTCACCGATGTAAGGAATACACCAATGTAAGGAATAAAAGGCTTTTAGAGTGTGGAACCATTGCCACTCTCTGATTCTAGAACACTTCCATTGGTCTCCTGCCCACAGAAGAGTAATTCTCCATTCCCTTTCCACCCAACCCTAGGCAAATACTAGCTTACTTTCTGCCTCTGTTAGATTTACCTGCTCTGGACATTTCATCTAAACAGAATTATACAATATGTAACCTTCTCTATCTGGCTTCCTTCACTGAGCATGATGTTCTCAAGTTTCATCCATGTTGTAGCGTGCTTCAGTACTCCCTTCCTTTTCATGGCTGTGTAATATTCCATCATTAACATGTGGCTTTGGTGTTTGGTGAAAGTCACTTCATTATTCAAAACTTGATAAAAGAAAATGTTTATGTAATAAGTACTTTAGTTATGTCTTAATGATTAAAAAAACATTTATTACATTTGACTGGGTTCAGATCCTTTTAGACTTAGTAGAAATATTATAGCAGTATTTCCTTGTGCTTCTCAATCTCAAATCCTTTGGATACTTCTTAAGAAGACATTCCTAGGATCATAAGGAAAGATTTTTTAACCAAAAATGTTGTCTGAATAAAAGGCTATTTCATGGATAATGATTTATCTATCACTGGAAGTATTTAATCACAAGATAGAGTACAACTCATTGAGTTTTTTAAAATTTGAGTTTATAAATATATATCTTGTCTGTGTCTACAAATGAATTTAGATGCTGAGTGATATTGTGGAAACAACTATACTGGAGGGTGTCTAGATTAAGTGCAGTTTGTCATTTCTTCTCACCCAGAGTCTAAGTGTTTCTAATTTTTATTCAAAATGATGAATTTTGGGGTGCCTGGTGGATGAGTTGGAAGAGCATGTGATCTTGGGCTTGGGAGTTCAAGCCCTGAGTAGGGTGTAGAGATCACTTTAATAAATAAAACTTTAAAAAGGATGATTTTCCACAGTTCTATAAAAGTCAAAATAAAAATGTAATTGAAATGTTAAAACATTCCCCTTTCCACATTTATAGATATACTTAATCTATGTATGGCCTCCCCTATAAGATGCAAACAGGAAGATATACAGACTTACACACATACACACACACACACACACACACATACACACACACACACACACAAGTTTGTTTTCATTTGTCTCCTTCTTCCCAGGCAAGGATCCAGATTACCTGGACCCTTTGGATGGGTCCTATGCTAATGCCATGCAGAAGTTTGCACTTTTCAGTGGCGAAGATGTGGAGGCCATCTTGAGCGTAGACAGAGCTGGCCTCTTGACATAAGCATTCCTTACAACTCAATCTTGGGGAGTTAGCTCTGCCTTTCCTAACTTCATATCCTAAGTATTTGGGTTCCCAGATGCCCAGATATTTCCATGTCTCTCTCCGAGATATCTTTATTCATGCACAATTACGGTCTACTGTCAGTGAAGAATGATCTCACATACTGTCCTCCCTTCCTTTTTTTGATGTCCTTGTATAAAAACTCTTTTCTGTTCCATAGAGGGCCAATATAATGGAAATCATAATAGTAAACTTTATTTCTACCAAGTTAAGCTCTAGAGAGAGATTTACTCCTACCAAAGTTACTATTCTAATTTGCAGTTACAATATTGTTGATGAGGTCACCAACAGAGAAGGGATGTGCTAAAGACCGAGTTTGAAAAAGGAATATGAACTCTTTACTTTCTGTCACAGGCACCTTGAAAGTGAGTTTATAGAAATCGTAAATTTCTTCTGAAAAACGAGTGATGCGTGTAACAGCATTGGCTCATCGGGTGTTACCGATTTTTTTGGTCCAGTTTCATGTGTAGTGTTTAAAAGTAATACATTCTTGAAAAGGGATAAAAGGGAAGGGCAAACAAACTTCAGAGCTTTGCAAAACTAGGTTAGTCCAAGATTGACACAGAACAGGTTTTCAGCCTCAAGCATTTTTTTAATGATCAAGTTATATAAACTCCAGAAAATACTGTGAGAGTGGGTAATGGAAACACTGACTTTTAATTTACAGTTGACTTCATTTCACTAATGTTATTGTTCCTTGAGCATTTGGAGTTTCGATTACACCATCGGAGTTGTAAACACAAACTCAGCTAGTTTGATATCCTGCATTTGAAGGGTAGCCTTTTTTGGCATCTGTGGACACAAAGCAGCAAAATTTCAAACAAAAAGACAAAGAAAGTGTCTTTGCCAGCAGGGCTGTGCAGTTTAAAATGCTTTCTCTCTGTTTAAGACATTGGTAAATTAAAACATAATCACCCACACAGGTCAGATTTCCCAGTCATTGAAGTCACGTTCAAATTCAAGACCACCGAGTGCTCCTTTATGTGTGTTTAATTTTGTTTTCCTACCTACTCCTCTCCCCATTTAAAACTCAAATACCTTCACCCTCATTATAGCAAAAGCTCCCAAGATCCCTCAGGAATCTAAGACGCATGTCTGGGGGACAACAGTAGCATTTACAAATATTGAGTCATTGAAAGTTCTTGTTCCCCTAGAGCCCTGTGAATATTAACTGGCAGTGGTAAAGAGTTTTTCAAACCAACCTATTTCGTTCCTGACTAGCTGGCAGGTTTGTTAAAGGTGCCATTGTGCAGACCTGAAACTTTACTCCCCCAGGCCCCCTCTTTCTCTCTCTTCATTTCCAAAACGGTACTTATAGGTAAGTGAGGAAATCTGTGGGGCAGGGGGTAGGTACCTCTGTAAATTTTCCTCAAACATGTGTTGTGCCGCTTACTAAAATATTTTCATTCCCTCAAAACTATACTATTTAAATAAATGTAAACCCGGTTTCAATTATGTCACTACAGATGCCACAGAAGTGGTTTGTTGGACTCACTGGTGGTTGTGCGGCAGTGTTCGTGAAATTTCAAGGCCGCTCTGGATTCCTGTGCTGTGTTAAAGCAGATTACTGATTGCAAGAAACTTTTGAGTTCAAAACTATGAAGGAAAAATTTGTGGTACATGTGTTGGAGGGGATGTGGAGAAAGGGGAACCCTCTTACACTGTTGGTGGGAATGCAAGTTGGTGCAGCCTCTTTGGAGAACAGTGTGGAGATTCCTCAAGAAATTAAAAATAGAACTTCCCTATGACCCTGCAATTGCACTACTGGGTATTTACCCCAAAGATACAGATGTAGTGAAAAGAAGGGCCATCTGTAGCCCAATGTTTATAGCAGCAATGGCCACGGTTGCCAAACTGTGGAAAGAACCAAGATGCCCTTCAACGGACGAATGGATAAGGAAGATGTGGTCCATATACACTAGGGAGTATTATGCCTCCGTCAGAAAGGATGAATACCCAACTTTTGTAGCAACATGGACGGGACTGGAAGAGATTATGCTGAGTGAAATAAGTCAATCAGAGAGAGTCAATTATCATATGGTTTCAC